ATTTGTTATAACTTTGATTCCGGTGTTTTCAATTCCTTTCTTAATTTAATAGAGATCCAGCCTCATCCAACGAACGGCGCGTAGCAGAGGTGTTCTGCTCCAACATGACGTATCTCCAACGAGGCGTTTTGGGGAGGTATTTTCTGTGTTCGAGTTTTACTCGCTACAGGGTGTACTTTGAGGGTTTTGACTCTGCACACCGTTTACATGCATAAAAACCTTCATAACACACAAGGGGACGGGTAATAACCGGAAAAGCATGACACAAACTCAGCGACGTAAAACGATGTGTGGGTCATAAGAAGGCACGTCAACGGTTACGTCATGACGCAAACGATGATGCAATAATTCACCTTTGAACCTAATTCACCTTTGAACCTGCATCTGTAACTCAGGTTATTGTTGCAAACACTGTTGGATGGTGGCTCACAGCCCCCCTCCGCTACGCGCCGTTCGTTAGATGAGGCTGGTTACATTTAATAAAGAAAGGGATTCAAAACACCGGAATAAAGGTTATAACAATAATCTGATTTTACTGGTAAGAAACAAAACACGTATACAAGTTTTACAGAGTACTCCGGACTTCAGGTTTCTACTGCTGTGCGATACAGGTATCGGGACCAGCCAGTCAGCAAACAGGAAGCATTTTACATGCATAAACAACAGTATTCATATTCATATTTTGGGGCGGAGATGTGTTGACTTCTTCCTTCCCATTTTACTCCGAAGCGAATCAGAGAGTCCGTGGGGAGGAGCTGTGTGAGCTGCTCACTCCCCCAGGTGTTTTTACTGGTTGGATTCACTTCTGGTCGGGTCCAATACAGCGAATCAGAGTTCTGAGAAAAAGTATGTTTTCTTCTGAGATTCGGAAGTTCACAAGGGCAGAGTCAATCTTATCTCTGCACCGATATTCACTCCCTTACTTTCCCAAGGAATATTTCACACAAACTATTCTTTCCCAGACAACCAAACATTGTACACAGATATATTGATGCCCAGAAAGAACCTTGAAAAGAATATGTGTGTGTGCTGGTGGGAGGAGGTGTATGTGTGTGTAACAGGATCTCTGGGTCAGTGAGTTGTAAGTGAGAATACAATATGTATATATGTGATTACTTAAAACAGTTCAAACAATACATGTTCACTAAAATACAATTCAAAATAATACATGTTTACTTCAATACAGTTTAGAACCATATCTGTTTACTTTAAGGCCCAATCCCAAACCGCCCCCTACACCCTACCCCTACACACTACCCCTCCGTTTGCGCGTTCGCGCGGAGGGTCCGCCACATTAAGTGCTGTTCCAAACCAACGAGTGTGGAGCGGTGTGGAGGGGGAGTGGGTTATCAAGCCCTCAAACAGCGAGTCTGCAGCGGTGCTGACCAATATGGTCTAGCTGCAGCCGCAGCAAGTAGTACACGACACGCCCCCTACACGACACACCCCCTACACGACACGCCCACCTGACACGACACTACGGTGGCTGAGAGACATTGATAGGCCGTGTCTCAATTCAGGGGCTGCACCCTTCGGAGTACACAGCCTACGCGGTCCACGGAGCACCCAGCCCACGTAGAGCGGGTAGGCTGGAGCGAGAGGCCTGCGAAATGAGACGGTCTAGTCTACGTCTTGACGTCACCAGCAGTTCCCGCCCCTACGTTTTGCCGCCTCTGTTGCCTAGCAACCACTTCCTTTGAAGACAGAATTCCTTTGAAGTTCTTCTGAAGAAAGAATTGACAAAGATGGAGAACGAACTTGCCACCGAAGTGACGTTGCTACTCTTAATAATGCTAATGGTAAATGTGGTTCCAAGACCTAAGAACAGGCGAGTCCTGTAATGCATTATTCAGTTACAAATATGTGATATATCTGAACAACAAAGTGGTCAAAAATTATTTTATTCATTTATTGGAAACATTTTCATGATCGCTTTTTCGTTTTACATTTTCATTTATTGTCATTTCCATTCAGTCAGTCATTAATGCTCACACCGCCCAGAGCTGCCGCTGCTGCGTCATGACGTCACCGTTTACATCGCTGATTTTCTCCCCAACGGAGCTCACAACAACAACGGGGGGGGACTGCGTCGGGTCGATGATCGTGTTGCTTTTAATCATACGAAGCCAGATTAAATTAAATAACAACTTCTCCAACCTTATACTTTTCTCCAGAGTGCCGTGGTTCATTGTTTATTAATGTGTTTCAGTGGCATTTACCGACCGCTGCAGTGCTGGCTGCTCTTCCACGGGAGTTTATTCTCCCGTTAGCTCCGGGTTAGCTCACACGGCTCTAAAGTATTCACTGTCTGACTGTCACACAAGCAGCTGATACATATCCCCAGTTCCCCTTAAGTGAATGTGTGTCAGTCTGAATTGACGCTGTTTGGCATCACAACGCTGTTATGAAAGTTTCTCTGGTATAACATGGGTGATGTTAGCATAGCAACCGAAGCTAAACTGACTACTTGCTAAGCCGTTTTCTACAGGCACATTTTACCGGCGTATTTTTCATTATGATTCTACTTGTGATAGTCGGACATGACAACCTGTGCAGCCCATGTATTGATTCCATCCGATAGCTGCTATAATAACAAACAAAACGTCTGCCTGCTCTCCACAATGATCAATAACAGCGAACGGATGGTCAAAGTAAGGTACAAATAAACAGAATCACACGAAGCCTGGTTAGTGTTGCCTGACTTTATAAAGTGTGTGGTTGCCTTCTAGTCACTTTGCTCAGCGCTACTGCTTGTAGGCAGGCATGACGAGACTCTTCAGTCGACCCATGTTCAGGGGAGGTGGGTTTAGTTTCCTGCACGCCTCGACGTAAGAGAGACGTAAGCGACGCCGCCTCTAGCTCCGAAGCTCTTGCCTCTAGACCGACAATTTTTTGGAGCTGGAAGTGAACCGCATTCCGGAGCTATGAGGCGGCACCGCTGCGGTGTGAACAGGAAAAACCGGTACTTTTCAGGCTCCAGCTCCGAGCCGGAGCTGAAAAAGCGCCGGTGTGAAAGGGGCATTAGTGCTATTTAACATGTTAATGTGCTACATATCCACACAAACAAAGTGTGCAATCCAATGAATGTTAATCTAACTGGGTTTTGATAGATAACATATCTCTTTTTCTTCTCTGAATTATTTTATTTCTATTGTGCACTCTAATCAATATTAATCCAACTATTATTCGTTTATACATTTTAAGAATGGCGTTTATCTTTTTTGAGAATGAGTTCTTATTTTATTTAATGTATTTGGATCTACAACAGATGATACAAATGTTTGTGTCAGTAAATGTGTACTAAACATAGGGTACTAACAGAGGCGGGGGTGTTTGTGAAAATAACGGGGACAGAGCTGCTGTCAGACGAACAGCTGTGCGGCGTCATCACAAACAGACGTCGCTTCACGTGACGCTCCGGAGGAAAGGACGTCCCATTGCTCTTAAAACTCATTTCCCTGCTTCTCGTGGTTTCCTTCCGTCTCTCCATGCTTCCCTGGTGGGAGGGACTAAACGCAGGGAAACGACGCAAGTGAGGGACGCAAGGATTCCATTTAATCGACCTGAGAAGGACCCTGTGTATTTTCAAATTCTAGCGATCTCGAGCTGGTTTCTCCAAAATTACCTACCCCACCTTTAATTTAAATGTTTTGTCTAAGAGATGCTGATTTGAAACCGTTGTTACATACAGTTACGGCATTTTCTGTTTCTGCCGGAGAGAGGGAAGGCCGTCCCAATGCGGTGCGCTGTATTTATACCCTTAACCCTTAATGGAGGGAACTTCATTCAGCTGCGAGTGTGGCTACAGACGGAGTTCACTCCGTCACGGAGGGGTAGGGTCGAGGGAGTGGTTTGGGATTGGGCCTGAGTGCCGAGTGTTTAATGAGGAGTGGACAGCTAAATATTTTTTCACCGATCTGCTACTGGCCTGGCCCGCCTGTCAATTTTTAAAACTCATAGTGGCCCCCGAGCACAAAAGTTTGCCCACCCCTGCAGTAGAATGTTTAAAGGCATTTCACTTTAGTTAAACATTTTCAAAATAAAAATAAACATAAAGAGTAAATATCAACAGTAGAAAATGTTATATTGAGTATCGATATAAAACTATAAAGAATACACTGTAATAGACCAACTACTTTCAAAATAAATAAAAATAAATGTGCCATTTAATCATTTATTTAAGTCTTCTTTATGGTGCTGATGTTACATTTTCTATATCACATAATGTATGTTAATTTACAAAAAAATTATATTTCATACTCTACCTGTTATTTAATAATGTATGCTATATATTTAGCAACTTTAGGTTCATTGCACTATTTTATGTGTTATTTCAATTTTGTATGTTGCATTGTTGAAGGAGCCTGGGACTTCAGACTTCCATTGCTAACCACTATGCTATTACTACCATATGAAAAATAAAGCATTTGAATCGTTGCAGCCTTAGATTGAACAAATGTACCCGGTAAATACTTAACTCAGTTTGTGCTGTTCTGCAAGGAGCTTAATCTGTCATTGAAGAAGATTGAAGAGGATTCAACTTATTGTCATTACGTAGTACAGGTAATATGAAACGGTTTCTCTGCATTTGACCCATCCTAGTGTTAGGAGCAGTGGGCTGCCATTATGTAGGCGCCAGAGGAGCAGTGTAGGGAACGGTGCCTTGCTCAGGGACACCTCGGTGGCACTTGGTCTTTCCGGGATTTGAACTGGTGACCTTCCAGTTGCCAAGCCAAGTCCCTTCGCCACCACCGCCCGTCATTGTATTATTGACACACCTTCACCTAAAACACTGGGATATGTGAATATATTTCTGTAGGCTACACACAGTGAAGTCCTAAAGGGTTCACAGCCTGCACTTTGCTTATGTTTAACTGATAAACTGTGTAGGCATGAATGTTATTTTGTCATTCTCATTCCTATCTAACCAAATGTGGGCAGATAGGAGCTGCAGCGCTGAGCCTGCTGACTTCACACTGTCCTTCAGCTCTGCAGAGGAACCATGCTGGAACCCTGTGGATTTTCTGTTTTAATTGTTCAGCTGTCTTTGGCAGCAACAATGCATGCTGGTAAGGTCATTACACTTTTAAAAATATCTTTAGTTTTTATATATGTGGCGTTTTATTGAAGCGTATTATCCAAATGAGTGAAAAAGAGTTAATTCTCCATATTCAGCAGTAGACTTACTAAGTAAAGCACAGGTTTAGTTTGAGCTATGCATCAGTGGAATATAGTGAATCAGAGATAATGATAATTATGACCAACAGACAGCTGCATTTTACACTTAGTGCCTGAAAAACAGAGGTAGGAGCGTCAGATAAACACTTTTATCTATGAGCCGTTTTCTCTTAACAGGTGGGGGTGTTCAGAGGACTCCATGGTGCGGGACTCTAGAGCGCAGGTGAGACAACACATGATAAATCAAGCGTCTGCTTTAATGTGATCAACATGACATGATTCAGTGGTTCCCAACCTTTTTCAGTCAGGCCCCCCTTGTGTAATTGGAAATATTTTCGAGCCCCCCCTAATCCGGTTCCCACCGAGATTGGTAGAATTAACTGTATATAGTTGTACAAACATTACATTTTCTCTGCTAATAATAACAAGACAAAAAGATTCAACTATAATTTTATTGAACATGAACAAAAGTGCTTGTATTGGCAGATGTACTGTGCTACTGCTTATCGATCCGGTTCTTTAACAGTATTTTTATAGGTTATTTTTGTTCTTTTTTAGGGGAAAAAACAAACAAATTAGAAACAGAATTCATGTTGATTAATTGTATGTATAGTGTGGATTATGGGCTGCTAGCACACATAAAATGCCTGCAGTGGTGGTAGTAAGTGATTTACTCAAGTACTGTACTTATATTGAGGTACTTAAGTATTTCCACTTGCTTCTTTGTAATTCTGCTCCTCTACAGTTCAGAGGTAAATGGTGTACTTTTACTACATGTATTGAATACCTTTAGTTACTTCACAGATGTGGATGAAGATGTGAAATATAATCAAGTGTTAAATCAGACTTTAGTTACACCTGGAGTAAATTCACAAGCTACCCTGCAGTATACTACTTTTACTTAAGTAGGCTACTTGATCTGAGTACTTCTCCCACCTTACACGTAATTGGGGCAACAGAACTCCGAGTTCTATTTTGTATAGGCTTCGCCCTCTAAGGCTATCGCTATTGGGTAATCCCCTGCGCACCCTCGCACCACTGAAAACACTTGTAGTCCACGCCCACCTGCGAGGTGGGCCCCACCTTCTGACTCACTTCCGGTATAAATAGGAAGGAGGCCCGACAATCTGCTCCCTCTTTTCTTCAGCACCCCGGTACTGAAGCACTGTAGAGACACTAAAGAGTAAAGGCTCTTTTAAGAGCCACCTCGAAAAAGATCCTTAAACATGAGTACACAGGGTTGTGTTAGAGTTTGCTCCTCATGCCAGACGGGGTTCATAATGAGTTATGACCGGCACTCACGATGCGAATCCTGCCTGGGGTCGGAGCACGCGCACGCAGCTCTCGCCCAGCAGGTGTCATGTGCTAATTGTGCCCGTCTCCCTCTGGCCGACAGACAGCGAAGAGCGGACGCTCTCGCTACTGCGGCCGAGGAGGATGATTGGCCAGTCCAGGAGTCCTACTCCGTGGACCAAGCCCTAGAGTTCCTGGATCCGAGTGCTGGGCAGGAGTCGGAGGACTCCTACCCCGCCTCCATCCACGGATCACCGTGTGGTTCCGCCATCCCGTTTCTCCCCCGGACGGAGGAGACAGAGATGGAGCCCGGTGCCGGCTCCGCGGTCCCTCTTTCCGCCATCACGGCTCTGCTGTCGATCGGCGGGATCCTGCAGGAACTGCCGGAGATCATCTGGAGAGGTCTCCTCGTTCCCAGGAGAGCTCTCTTGCCGGTGGAAGGAGTGTTTCGCCCGGGTACAGACCGTCAGGAGTGACCCGGTCTGGCCGCGCTTCCCGGCAATCCGGAAGTACCAGGAGGGAGCGGCGGCGGCCCCTAGGAGCCTGAAGGCTCCGGTGTCCTCATACGTCCCCCTCACTAAGGGGGTTGACGGATGTTAGTTTTCTGACCGCGCCTCCCCTGGAGCCGAACCTGACGGCATTGTTCGGGGTGAAGCAGGCCAGCACGGTCGCCGCACGGCGTCCCTTGCTTTCCTCCGGGGACCAGGTTGTCGTCCGCCAGACTGACCGGATGCACCAGTGTGCCTTCCAGGCGTCTGCAGCGGCGAACAACAGGTTAATAAACTGCAGAGCTCGCTAACTCGCTAACTAAGCCGGCTGCCACTAACCTGTCGGTTAGTAGCCAACAGGGCTCGCTGCAGAAGCCTGCTGTGTCACAATCCTAGTTTTCCTAGTTTTCTATCACAATCTTAGTTGTCTGTCTTGATTTTATGTTGAAATTCTGTTCTCCCTGTGTCTTGTCTTCCTTCCTGTGTTTTCCCTCCTGTGTCTGATGGTCTGATTGTGTTCACCTGTTGCCCTTGTGTTTCTGCCTCCCCTGCCCAGCTGTGTCTTGTTCTGTGATTACCCTTCTTTGTATTTAGTCTTGTCTTCCCCTGTGTTCCATGTCGGTTCATTGTCTTTCCTGTCACCCTTCATGTTGTCACGGTCAGTTTTGTCTGGATGCTACCTCGTGTTACCTACTCTTTGGATTACCTCGTGTTACCTACTCTTTGGATTCATGGTTTTGTTAAGTTATTTTCATTGTCAACAGCTTGTTTTTTTGTAATAAAGCTTGCTTTTTGTTACATTTTGAAACCCGCTTCCCTTTTTAAACTGCATTTGGGTCCTACCTTTTCCCGAATCGTAACAGAATGAACCGACCAAATTTGGACCCAGCAGATTCTGTTTTGTTGGCTCTACAGGCGGAACGTCTTGGGTACTCTCTGGAGTACATTTTTTATACTTGGTATGACGCCTCATCTAGACTGGGTAGAGAGGCTGCTTTGAAGGAGGCACGCCAGGAGGTTGCTCGCAAGTCCTGGCTCAGGAGCTTGTTGCCTGAGTGGCTACAAACTTTTACAACTAGCCCTGAAAACTTGTCTCAAGCCTCTAACCCTTTCCTGGGGTCTGGCCTGGCTTTGGGAGGTCCGCGGATCCTCCGGAAGGTTTCTGGAAGATGCAAGGCCAGAATTCCAGCCCGTGCTCCAGCGGCCCCAGTACCGGCCCCAGCAGCCATGGTTCCGGCTCCAGTTCCGGCCCACGCAGCCATGGTCCCGGCTCCAGTTCCTGCTCCAGTACTGGCCCCAGCAGCCATGGTTCCGGCTCCAGTACCGGCCCCAGCAGCCATGGTCCCGGCTCCAGTTTCAGCTCCAATACTGGCTCTCCGGCCGACGCCAGCTCCCTGTGTCCTGTCGGCGTACCGGCCGACTCCAGCTCCTCGTCTCCTGTTGGCTCTCCCGCCGACGCCAGCCCCCCGTGTCCTGTCGCCGTACCCGCCGACTCAAGCTCCTTCACTGTCGGGGGTCCCGCCGACTCAAGTCCCTTCTCAAGTCCCCTCTCAAGTCCCCTCTCAAGTCCCTTCTCGAGTCCCTTTTCGAGTCCCCTCTCGAGTTCCCTCTCAAGTCCCTTCTCGAGTCCCCTCTCAAGTCCCCTCTCAAGTCCCCTCTCGAGTCCATTTTCAAGTCTCCTGCCGAGTCCCCTCTCAAGTCCCCTCTCAAGTCCCTTCTCGAGTCCCTTTTCAAGTCTCCTTTCGAGTCCCTTTTCAAGTCCCCTCTCGAGTCACTTTTCAAGTCCCTTCTCATGTCCCTTCTCTAATCCCAACTCCATGTCCTGTATCGTTGGGGGTTCCGCTGAGGGTCCTGCCGACTCCATGTCCTGTGTCGTTGGGGGTTCCACTGAGGGTCCTGCCAACTCCATGTCCTGTATCGTTGGGGGTTCCGCTGAGGGTCCTGCCAACTCCATGTCCTGTGTCGTTGGGGGTTCCGCTGAGGGTCCTGCCAACTCCATGTCCTGTGTCGTTGGGGGTTCAACTGAGGGTCCTGCCAACTCCATGTCCGGTTTTGTTGGGGGTTCTGCCGACACCTGCTCCGCCGGGTTTCCTGCTAACACCATATCCTGTCCTGTTGGGGGTCCCGCCGACACCTGCTCCGCCGGATTTCCTGCCAACACCATGTCCTGTCCTGTTGGGGGTTCTGCCGACACCTGCTCCGCCAGGTTTCCTGCCAACACCAGATCCTGTCCTGTTGGGGGTCTCACCGACACCTGCTCCGCCGGATTTCCTGCCAACACCATGTCCTGTCCTGTTGGAGGTCCCGTCGACACCAGCCCTTGCTCCGTCCGGGGTCCCACTGACACCAGCCCATGTCCCGTCCAGGGTTCCTGTTACGCCGTTGGCTCAGCCGGCTACGAACTCTGTCCTGCCGGGTGTCCCGCCGACACCAGATCCTATTCCGCCGGTGGTCCAGTCGGCCACGAACCCGGTCCGTCCTTGTGCCCGGCTCCCTGACTATGCCCGCTGCGGCCTTAGCCGCTTCTCTGCCTCTGCCTTGCCACCGGGCCGTCCGCCTGAGACTCCTTCCTGGTCCTCTGCCTTACCCCCGGGCCATCTGCCCAAGACCACCTCCTGTTCCTCTGCCTTGCCCCCGGGTCGTCCGCCTGAGACCACCTCCTGTTCCTCTGCCTTGCCCCCGGGTCGTCCGCCCGAGACCCCTTCCTGGTCCTCTGCCGTGCCTCCGGGCTGTCAGCCCAAACCCGTCCTCCGGACCCCCTCCACCCACCCTTTTGGAAGTGTTTGACTTTGTTTTGGACGTCTGGAATCCGTCCCTTGAGGGGGGGGTTCTGTCACAATCCTAGTTTTCTGTCACAATCTTAGTTGTCTGTCTTGTCATGATTTTATGTTGAAATTCTGTTCTCCCTGTGTCTTGTCTTCCTTCCTGTGTTTTCCCTCCTGTGTCTGATTGTCTGATTGTGTTCACCTGTTGCCCTTGTGTTTCTGCCTCCCCTGCCCAGCTGTGTCTTGTTCTGTGATTACTAGGGGTGTAACGGTTCACGAACATTTCGGTTCGGTACGTACCTCAGTTTTTAGGTCACGGTTCGGTACGTTTTCGGTACAGCAGAAAAAATTATCACAAAACATAAAATATCTTTTGGGGGTTAATTATTATTAAACTGTGAATAATGTATTCACTCAAATAAATACAAAATATAATAAAATAAACATTAAGGTGCAGCATTTCGATGAACTGAAATAATCTGTATTTGAACTGTACTGTACTAGTACCTATAAGCAGCCAGCTTGACATTATGACTTGCTTGCTTGTCATTGTATTTTCATGTTTTTTTAAAGAAAAATGAACTTGTCCACATTGATTGCCGAAAGGGCAGATCTGCTGGCACTAACAATTGTTGGAGTAGAATACTTCTGCTACGCGCCGTTCGTTGGATGAGGCT